GCAGTGCAGCAGGGTAAGTGAGCCGGCGGATGCACACATGGAGCACACCGCAGCAGCCAAGGCCTCCCCAATTCCCGACCCACAGGACTGAGAGAAATAATAACCTGATGTTTTAAGACACTGAGTTTTTGGTGGTTTGTCATTCAGCAACAAGTACTAAACTACTCGGTTGTAGGATTTCTGCTCTCGCTCCTTCCCAGTGGTGACAACCCCCCCACCCCCCAAGAACATGCTTCTTGCAAAGAACCTCCTCCACCCATCCCCGGAAAAGAAGAGGGAGCGCAAGAAGAAGCCCCCTGGTGCAGAGCCCCAGCTCCCACTTCATGGACGTGCCGTGCCCAGGATGCTACAAAATCACCACCGTCTTTAGCCGTGGACAAACGGTGGTGTGGGTTGGCTGCCCCACTGCCCACCTACAGGACGACAAGCAAGACTTACAGGAGGATGCTCCCCCAACAGAAGCAGCACTAAAGCCCCCTGAATTAAGATGAGTGGGAAACTATCCCAGCAAACACATTTTTTTTTTTTTTTGGATAGGAAACCAAAACAAAACCAAAAAACTTCAGTCCTTGGACTTCTTTTCTCATCTACCCGCACTCCCTACCCAGGTGATCCCAGCCAGTCCCATTGTTAAACAAGTCTCAGTGCTGGGGCGCCAGGGTGGCTCAGTCAGTTAAGTGTCTGACTCTTGGTTTCAGCTCGCGTCATGATCTCCCAGTGAGTTCAAGCCCTGCATCCAGCTCTGTGCTGACAGTGTGAAGCCTGTTTAGGATTCTCTCTCCCTCTCTCTCTGCTTCTCTTTCCCTTTCTCACTCAAAAATAAATAAATAAACATTAAAAACAACAACAACAACACAGTCTCAGTGCTGAGGACTCCAGCTCCAGACTCTCCCCGAACTTCCAGACTCACATATCCAACTTCCTTCTCAATGTTTCCCCCTAGATGACTAATAAGCATCTCAAACCAAAAAAGCCTCCTGATCATCCCTTCAGGGAGCCAAGTCTTTGCCATCTCAGCAAATGGAAACTCTGTCCTTCTAGTTCTGTAGGGCAAAAAGCTGGGAACTACCCTGGATTCTCCTTACTTTCACACCTCACAGCCAATCAATCCATAAATCCTGTTGGTTCTACTTCCAAAATCAGACCACCTCTGACCACCTCCTTCACCATCGGCCTGGTCTAATCCACCATTATTCCTCATCTGATTTTTTTTTAATTTATTTATTTTTATTTTCTTTAAGTAAACTCTGTGCCTAATGTGGGGCTCGAACTCACGACCCTGAGTTGACCCTACCAACTGAGCCAGGCGCCCTGATTCCTCGCTTGATTATTGCAATAGCTTCCTAACTGCTTTCTCTCCTTCTACTCTTGCCCCCTCCCTGCCCCACCCTGAACCCAACAGTAGCCAGAGTGCTCCTTTAAAAAGTTTAAGTCTGAAAAATAGACCTACCCTATGACCCAGCAGTAGCACTGCTAGGAATTTACCCAAGGGATACAGGAGTACTGATGCATAGGGGCGCTTGTACCCCAATGTTTATAGCAGCACTCTCAACAATAGCCAAATTATGGAAAGAGCCTAAATGTCCATCAACTGATGAATGGATAGAGAAATTGTGGTTTATATACACAATGGAGTACTACGTGGCAATGAGAAAGAATGAAATATGGCCCTTTGTAGCAACGTGGATGGAACTGGAGAGTGTGATGCTAAGTGAAATAAGCCATACAGAGAAAGACAGATACCATATGTTTTCACTCTTATGTGGATCCTGAGAAACTTAACAGAAACCCATGGGGGAGGGGAAGAAAAAAAAAAAAAGAGGTTAGAGTGGGAGAGAGCCAAAGCATAAGAGACTCTTAAAAACTGAGAACTAACTGAGGGTTGATGGGGGGTGGGAGGGAGGAGAGGGTGGGTGATGGGTATTGAGGAGGGCACCTTTTGGGATGAGCACTGGGTGTTGTATGAAAACCATCTGACAATAAATTTCATATGTTGGAAAAAAAAAAAAAGAACCAAAAAAAAAAAAAAAGTTTAAGTCTGGGCGCCTGGCTGGCTCACTCGGTAAGAGCATGTGACTCTTGATCTTGGAGTTGTGGGTTTGAGCCCCTCATTGAGTGTAGAGATTACTTAAAAATAAAATTTTGGCAGGGGTGGGGGGTATGGAGGGGCCTGGGTGGTTCAGTCAGTTAAGTGTCCTTCTTCAGCCTAGGTCATGATCTCACTGTCCCAGATCTGAGCCCCGCATCAGGCTCTGTGCTGACAGCTCAGAACCTGAAGCCTGTTTCAGAGTCTGTGTCTTCCTCTCTCTCTGCCCCTCCCCCACTAGTGTTTTCTCTCTCTCTCCGTCTCAAAAATAAACATTTTTGGGAGGGGGGATGGGCTAAATGGGTAAGAGGCATTAAGGAATCTACTCCTGAAATCGTTGTTGCGCTATATGCTAACTTGGATGTAAATTAAAAAAATAAAATAATACATAAATAAATATTTAAAAAATAAAATGAATAAATGAAATGAAAAAGAAGAAACTGTCCCCACAAAATGTTCACCCATCACAAGACTTTCATTCCCAAAAGGTAAAAAGTCTAAATCAAATTATATCACTTCTCTGCTCAAAACCTTCCTGTGGCTTCTCATCTCAGAGTAGAATCCAAAAAGCCTAACTTTTTTTGTAAATCATCTATCCAATATAGACCTCTATCTAGAATAAGGAACTATAAAAACTCAATAACAAAAAGCCACATAAGATAATTAAACTATAGGAAAAGGCAGTGAACAGACATTTCTACAAAGATTATGTACACATGGCCAATAAGCCCATGAAAAGACACCCAACATCATTAGCCACCAAGGAAACGTAAATCAAAATCACAATCAGATACTGTCTCAGACCCACCAAGGTGGCTACAGCAGAAAATGAGATAACAGCGGAGCAACCGGAACCTTCACACATTGCTGGAAACTTCACAACATATGATGGTGCAGCGACTTTGGAAAGCAGTGTGGCAGTTCCTTCAAATATTAAGTACAGAGTTACCATATGACCCAGGTATGTTCCATTTCTAGGTATAGACCCAGGAAAAATGGAAACAGATGTCTACATGAAAACTTGTATACCTATGTTTATTAGCAGCACTATTCACACTTGCCCAAAAAGTGAAAACGCAAATGTCCATCCACTAAGTGAACAGATGAAATAAATATCCATGCAGTGGGCCAGCACTTGGCAATGAAAAGAAACAAAGTATTAATTCATGCTACAACATGAATGAACCTTAAAACTATATGCTAAATGGCGCCTAGGTGGCTCAGTCGGTGAAGGCTCGGACTCTTGACTTTGGCTCAGGTCATGATCTCACAGTTGGTGGGTTTGAGCCCCGCGTAGGGCTCTGCATTGAAGGTGAGGAGCCTGCTTGGGATTCCTTCTGCATCTCTCTGCCCCCTCCCCTGCTCTCTCTCTCTCTCTCTCTCTTTCTCTCTCAAAATAAATAAACTTAAAGAAAAACATAACGCTAAATGAAAGAGGTCTATTACAAAAGACCACATATTCCACGTGTATGAAGGATCCGAAACAGGCAAATCTAGAGAGACAGGAAGTAGAGCAGTAGTCACCTGGGGCTGGGGGTCGAGTGGATAGAGGATTACAGCCAACGGGTTTGGGATTTCTTTTGGGGGTTATGAAAATGTTCTAGAATTGATTGTGGTGACAGTTGCACAACTCTCTGAATATACTAAAAGCCATTAATTGTATGCTTTAAATGGGCAAATTGCATAGTATGTGAATCTACATATATTTTTTAAATTCTTTATTTGCTTTTGAAAGAGAGAGAAAGAGAGAGGGAGTGTAGAAGCAGGAGAGGGGCAGAGAGAGAGAGAGAGGAGGACAGAAGATCCCAAGCAGGCTCCATGCTGACACAGCGCAGAGCCCGACATGGGGCTCGAATTCAGGAGCCGTGAGACCATGACCTGAGCTGAAGTTGGGCGCTTAACCGACTGAGCCACCCAGGCGCCCAGTGAATTTATGTCTTGATAAAGCTGTTTCAATAAAAAAACAAAAACAGAAAACAATCTTGAGTCTTCCTAGGCCCTACAAGGTCCTCACCTGCATGGGTTCACCTCTTTCCCTCCTTTTCTTTGCTCCCTCTGCACATTCCACTTTGGTTTCCTTGATGCCCTACGAATCCACCAACCACACACCCAACTCAGGCCAGGGCTGTGGCTTATGGTCGAGTAGTCTGTACACTAAACAAAAAGTCCCCGGCTTAAGGTGCAAGGGAGAACTGCGGTCTAGGCTCCTGGTTGTCTACACTGGGGCCCCGGGGCTGCGCCGTCTCAGAGGAGCCATTTTCTAACTGGCACGCGGTGTGTGTGCCAGCCATGGCCACGGCCGTATTCAGGGCTTCTGCACATCGTGCTCCCTCTACTTCGACTCTTTCCCCGCATATGCACATGACTTGCTCACTTGTGTTCACTTCTCTGCTTAAATGTCATCAGAGGGGCCTTCCCCGACCACTGTGTGTTGCCAGCCAGGCTCTCGCCATCCTCTCTAACTCTTCGCCCTCTTTTATTATACTTCATAGCGCCTCCTACCACCTCACATGTCATATATCGATGTACGTTTTGGTTTACCACCTGTCTCCTTCCACTAGAATGAAAGCCCCGTGAGAACAGCAGCTTCGTTTAGTTCGCTGCTGTTTCCCCAGTGCTTGCAATTATGCCTAGTATATAGTAGGTGCTCACTAAATAAATTCTCGAGTGCATGAATAGGTGAAGTAAATTCAAGTGATCATCCAAGGCTTAATCCGATTTGAAGCAAAGAGAAGGTGTGTTTTTTTGTGGACTCTACGAGTTGCATCACCAAGGAAGAGCAGCAGAATGTAGTGCTGGACACTCAGTGTCTGAGACTAGCCATAAGGCTCAGCACCACTGATTTAAATGCAGCCTCCGGCGGGGTGGGAGCCAGGGCTCAGGGAGGGGAGCACTCGCCGGTCTGGCCTCTTACCTCTTCTTTAGTATAGTATTTCAGGAGGCCTTCTCTTGACAGGAGAACAAACTTCCTTCTCAGGAACTGTGCGTTGTCTCTTCCCCGCTTCCATAAGAACCCTTCTCGGTTACCTTGGCCACCAAAGATGAGAAAGAGTGAACACCTACATCCTCAAGATTCTACCTCCTTAAGGGGAGAACGAACGCTCCACCCCGTGCTAAAAACCTCTCAAATCTAACTTAGCTCTATCAGCTGCAGCACGCAGGGTTCCCTCTGGAGCCAAATTCGCAATGTCTTATGATTTTGTTTGGGCTCCCCCCACTAACTTCCTTCTTTGGCTGTTTCACAAGACAGGGTAAGCCCTTAAGGAGGCTAAGCCCTGAGAAACGGGATGATTCTGAAAGACGCCCATATGGTCCTGCCCGACTTCACGTTGACATCGGCCTAATGAAACTCTCCAGAGGGCGGAAATAATGAGCGACCTCCAGGCACCCGCTGGCCGAAGAATACCGCGTGCTCCTGGTGGCTAGGAGCGCTGACACCGGCTGCTGCTGGGTCCTCACAGTGGTTTTGTGCACTTTGTACTCTGGGTCGGTGTCAGCTTGGACTCAGAGCAGCTGGGCAGCAACCGCCAGGGGTCGAGGGCCAGCGATGAGGTCGTGCCCCACACAAAGGTGGAAAGGGAGGCTGAAATCCCTCCCATGTGCCTTCCCGAGCCTCGTGCCGCACCAGGGGCTACCCTCACCAGGAGCAGGGGTGCCTTTTTCTAATTACTCTGCCCAGAGGGTGAGTCTTCCTGCAATTTTATACTAAGACTCTATACACACTTGTGGCCCTGCGGGGACCTGAGATAAAAATGCTTCTCAACCACTCAGACCATAAAACCCCACCAGCTGACATGTTGCTGTTTCAGAGGCAGAGGAACCCACACCTTGGCCTCTGTGGCCAGAGTGAGGACGGCAGATATCTCCTGATTAGGCCCTGATACTCAGACACTCTATTCTCCAGGACTCATTAGAACGCAGACCACAAAAGAACTTACCTGGGGGTGAGATGGTTTTCCCATCGGCCATGAATTCCTGTCTTTCATACTTAGCTCGAATCCACTGTTCCTTTAAGACCCTAAAAAGAGAGAGCCCTTAGTCAACTGTGTCTGGTGCATCCTCTTACCACAGGGTGGGAGCACCACAACAACTCTCTGCTCAGACTACCCAGGGCTTCTCAGCCTTGTTACCGTTACACTTGGGGCTAATTCTTTGTTGTGGGGGAGGGGGCAGCATCCTGTGTTCTGTAGCCGGTTTAGCAGCATCTCTGGCCTCTATCCCCTAGATGCCAATAGTCCCCCACCCCTAGTTAGGACACCCCAAAATGCCTTTAGATACTTCCAGTGTCTCCTGAGGAAAAAGATTTCCCCCAAGGGGCTCTATGAAAACCACTGGGCTATTCCAACCCCAGCCCAGCCCTCTAGGTCAACCGGCTCCCCTGGACCATCTACACTGCCACCCCCCACTGCATGCTCATAAGCTGACGCCAGGGGAGTCCATGAACCTCTTCGTGTGGCTTTCCCACAAAGTCTGGGCATGCCACACTGGACAGAGCAGTGACATAGGGGTCCAACCACCTGGGACCTCATCCTCCTCTACGATTTATCTGTTGTGTGACCAACAGCAAGTTACTTAACTTCTCTGAACTTGGGGATCTGTCAATAATATTATACCTACCTACCCCTCAGGGTCTAGGAGGGGTTTAAATGTATATAAAAGGGCCTAGTACCACGATCAGCACATAGCAGGAGTTTAATGTTAGCTTAATCAGATATTGTCCTCCATGAACCCTGCAGGAAACTTATTTCAACTGTTTGGTTCCCTTTTGCCTCTTCCAGGGAAATGTTCCAAGGTTTACTTCCAAGACACTGGGAATGACCTAGAGCTGGGCCCTTGGCCTGAACTGGCCAATCAGAGCTCTGCCTTGGGCTGTGTGGAGCAAAACCAAGAGAGGGATAGATTGGAAGCCCTCTCTGGGTCAGGCTGAGAGCTGGGGCCGGGGACCGGGAAGTGGCCTTGTTCCCAGCTCTATGAAAAAAGCCTGGCTGAGGAAAAGGTGCAGGAATGAGAGCCAGACAGAGTAGGAGAGGCCTGACAGCGTTTGAGCCCCTGGCTTGTCCTTCCCGAGGGCGGCTCCACCTGTGTCCCTCCTACAGTCTGATTCCCAGAACCCATAAAATCCCCTCATGCCTAAGCTGGTTTAAACTGGGTTTCTGGGGGCGCCTGGGTGGCGCAGTCGGTTAAGCGTCCGACTTCAGCCAGGTCACGATCTTGCAGTCCGTGAGTTCGAGCCCCGCGTCGGGCTCTGGGCTGATGGCTCAGAGCCTGGAGCCTGTTTCCGATTCTGTGTCTCCCTCTCTCTCTGCCCCTCGCCCGTTCATGCTCTGTCTCTCTCTGTCCCAAAAATAAATGAACGTTGAAAAAAAAAAATTAAAAAAAAAAAAAATAAATAAACTGGGTTTCTGTCACTTACCACCAAGAGTCCTACCTAATGGACAGCCCTCACACCCAGCACGTTGAGGAGAGTCACCAAGCCCACCATGGAATCCTGAGTGACAGGATCAGAGCCGGGAGAGGGAACGGAGACTGAGGCCCCAGGCCCGGTCCTAGAGGTGGGAAACTTCGAGGACCTTTAGAATTACAGGGAAGAAGCCGTGAGTGTTCTGCTAAAAGCGGGTAAGGGGGGCGCCTGGGTGGCGCAGTCGGTTGGGCGTCCGACTTCAGCCAGGTCACGCTCTCGCGGTCCGGGAGTTCGAGCCCCGCGTCGGGCTCTGGGCTGATGGCTCGGAGCCTGGAGCCTGTTTCCGATTCTGTGTCTCCCTCTCTCTCTGCCCCTCCCCCGCTCATGCTCTGTCTCTCTCTGTCCCAAAAATAAATAAACGTTAAAAAAAAAAAAAAAGCGGGTAAGGTACAGGGCTGTGGTTAAAGTCACAGCAAGTAGTATCTGTAGTGCTGGCAGAAAGCTGAGCACATAGTAGGTGTTCATCAAATGCCTGTTCCTTTCTCTTTGCAGCAAAGGGCTGAGTGGCAGCAGTGAGGCAAGGTGAGCCAGACCCTCTTGAGTTAAGCCTGGCACATCCCTCAGCTGGCCCAGGGACCAGACAGCATTCCGAAGAAACGGGTTAAAACTAGCCCGTCATGTGGCCTGTGAGACATTTTACACAAATTATCTCATTTAATCTCTACCACCATGCCATGATATGGGCATCATTATCTACATTTCACAGATGATGATGCCATGATTCAGAGAAGTTGGGTAAGTTGTCCACCTTTTCACAGCTACAGAGTGGTAGAGTCAGGAAACAATACTGGGATCTTCCGAGTGCAATACTGTGCCTCCCCTGCCACTCCATGCTACATCAGTAGCCCCTGGGTTGCTTAAATATTGGGAAATGGCAGGGTACTAAGTACAGTTGTACAGTTGGTGCACTGGCCAAGAGCTTCCTGCTGACACTAGAAGACAATGGTGGCTGAAATACAGCCTGCTCTCTGCAAGCCATACCCCCCATGAGCTATATCTGCCCAAAGGGTACCTTCTTCACATTTATACTGGGGGTGGGCGTGGGGCGCTGCCTAGCAACCCTGGCAGTGAGGCTGAGTCCCTGGGAGGGAGGCTAAGCCTCAGGCAGTCAGTCCTGCAGAGGCTGAAGTCACACTGACCCCTCACGTGTAGGGACCTGAAACCTCGTGATGCTTCACAGCTTCCCGCCCTTATATTGAATTTCCCCAGTGCCATGGTACCCAACAGCAGGCCCTGGTGTCAGATGGGCTAGTCAGTCCCAGTTCTGTCTCTATGAGCCTCAGGTACTTCATCTGTATCATGGAGATCAAGGCAGTGTTGTCTCAGAGTTGTTGAATTAAACAAATACACGCCCATAAGCATTTAGCACAGGTACCTAGGTAAAGCTCAATGAATATTAGTGGCTACTCTTATTTATATGGTTACTACTTAGGGACCTGGGGCCAGACAGCTGCGTTGCAGCTATGCTGAGTTCCTGTGGGACAGCCTTGGGCACAACACTCCATAGGAAGTAGCTGGAACACATTTGCTCTACTAAAATACCAGCGTTTTTCTTCTCTATCAAGTTAGCCACCACCAGTAGGCTAGGAGAACATCAGAGGCAAAGGAATCACAGAGAAAATGCCCTATTTCACACAGCTTGGAAACTGAGTCCCAGACAGTGAAGTGACAATCCACGCAATAAAGACAGAGAGGGAACTAGGCCACGTCTACGTGTTCTCCATGACAGTACCAAATGTCTTTCTGGATCCACCAGGTCCATAGAAAAGACCACCACAGGGGCGCCTGGGTGGCTCAGTCAGTTAAGCGTCCGACTTCGGCTCAGGTCATGATCTCACGGTTTGTGAGTTCGAGGCCCGCGTTAGGTTCTCTGCTGTCAGAGCGGAGCCTGCTTTGGACCCTCTGTCCCCCTTTCTCTCTGCCCCTCCCCCGTGCTTTCTCTCTCTCTCAGATATAGGCATTAAAAATTTTTTTAAGAAAAGACCACCACAGACAAATGGAACAGGGGTGGGGGAGGTGAGACCGAGAAATCACCCACTCACAGACAGTCGTTGGCCTGGGGGATATAGTAGAAAGCAGGGACTCTGGCTTCATACTTGGCCTTCACACGGAGGTTCCCGTTGTGGGTCATAAACTGCAAGACAGCAGCAAGTTGGGGTAATATTAGAACATGAAGAAATGTGAAATGAAACCATGGTCTACCCAGAAGGCCACTCTTCCCACTGGCTCCTAGACCCAGTCAGGAGACACTCCTACTTGGGGTTTGACGCACCCCAGGCTTGGTCATTCATGCTGCTGGGAAGCCCCAGGCCAGAACACTGAGGTGCAGTAACAACCACGCTTCACGCTGGCAGAGACCTTCACAGTTCTTACCCATTACTTCATTCCATCCCCTCAACAATTTTAATACCGCCATCCTCATTTTAAAGGTGAGGCAACTGGGGCTCAGAGAGGTTAGGTGACTTACTCAAGGTGGCACAGCTAGAAAGTGGAGAGCTAGGATTTGAACCCAAACCTGTCCAACTCCAAAGCGCATGTACTTTGTCCCACCCCCTCCACAGATGGCCAGGACCACCAGCACCAGTCCCGGCAAGCCTGCAGCGGATAGACGTAGCTGGGGGATGGAAGAAGTCAGAGCTGGCGCCACTGAGTGCTTAAGTCAGGGTGATCACTGGGGCCCTATGACGACAGAGGTACCCAGAGGCAGACATGCCAAGAGTGGCCCTGGCCAAGAGTTAGCACTCAGTAACAGAGGTGGCATATCTGGGGTTAGGGCCCATGTGGGAAGAGACATCAGGTTGCTAATTCACATCCTGTGAGCAGAGTGAACCCTTCTCCCCTCCCCTGGGGCTGCTGGGCTGTGACCCAGGATTTGCATGGGCTTTGGACCCCAACAGAGCAGATTTCACATTCCAGCTGTTCCGTTTATTCACTGAGTGACCCCTGGGCGATATTTAACCCTGTGAGCTTCCGGGATTTCAACTGCAAAAATGAAGAAAGCTTAACAGGGGGGTTGTAAGGACAAAGAAACAACCTTCAGGTCTATGTGCTGGTTACTGGTTTCCTGTCTTTCCCCTGCAGTAGAAGGGTGTAAGCTCCCCGTGGGACGAGACTTTATCTCATTCATTGTTCTTTCCTTAACACCCAGCACCTAGTAAACTTACAGTAACTATGTGTCCGACGAATAAGGCATCTAGCACAGGGCCCCGCACAGAGTGGGCTCTCTGTAAACATGGGCCTGCTCCTCCAATAGTCCTTGAAATCCTCAGCCAACCAGTACAGTTTAGAACTGCTTGTTCTCTGAAGGTCTTCTGGCCAAAAACGGTTTTATCATCCAGATTGCCTCCATTTGCATAGGTCAGGAGAGCAAAATGGTGCCCTTCCTGGTTATGGGGGCCGGAAGGGGGACTGCAGACCATGATCAGTATACTGTTCCAGTCCAAGACTTCAGCTAATGATAACAGCAGCTGTTACTTGACTATTTATTTTGTAGGCATTGAGCCTACATTTAATCCTTATGGCAACCGGGGGAAGGGGTAGTGGTATCCTTACAATACAGATGTGGAAACTGAGGGAAATAACAAGCTCGGGGCCTTGAACTCAGGGCCTCTGTCTAGGCAGGCACTCTAACAGGCTGTGTTTTCTCTTGCTAGTTCTTGCTCCTCTCTGGAACTCAGTTTCCTGCTCTGGACGCCCTACCCACCGCCTCCACCCCGGTTCTGCGGTTCCAAGGCTGTCCACGCGCGCCCCTCGCTACCTCCACGGTACTGTCATCCCAGAAGTCAAGTCTCACGGATTTAACTCTGCTGATGTCTGGGAAGTTGCGGTGGACGCCGGAGCAATTCAGACAGATGAAGATGCCCAGCTTGTAGGAGGCCCAGTCAGGATCTGCGGGGCAAAGAGGGTAGAAGGGGAGTTGTATGGTGAGCTAGGCACGGAGACCAGGGCTGGGCTGGGGGTGCTGGGAGAGGCGGGCTTGGCGGTTAGAATTCATGCGGCGGTGCCCAGCGCTGCCCAGGCTGAGAAACCTTTCTCTCTCGGTCCCCCCCCCCCCCCCTTGTAAACTAAGATACCCGCATGCAACCTTCTGGTCAGCCCACCCGCCAAGGCACGGAGGCGACCAGGATGATCCTGGAAGGAGTGTAGGGATGCGGGGCGAGAAGTTGCGGCGAGCACGAAGTGGAAGTGACAAGACTCCGGGGAACCGAGAGGAGAGCGCGGAGGGAGGAGCCGACCCCGGGACGCCAAGCTGGGGAGCTGCAGGTGGGGAAGTGCGCCGCAGGGCCCCTGGACGTCCGCAGGGTCCGCGCGCTGCGCGACAGGAACGTGGGAGGACCCGGGGCGTCCGGGGGCAGGGAAGGGGTCACTGGAAGGTCAGGAGCCGTGGGCCTGGACCCCTCGGTGTGGGGGATGTTTGGGTCCGAGAGCGTGGGAGGTGACCAGGTCCGGATGAAGACGTCAGGGACTGAGGTCTGGGGGGGAAGGGGGGGGGCGTGTCTGGCTGGGAGGCGATCGAGACGGTCAGGGCATCCGGGTCCGGGTCTAGTGTAGGGGTCCAGAGTGGGGAGGTCAGGGGATCTGGGTTCGGGTGGGCGCCGCATCGGATGTGGAGAGCTCGGCCAGGGGCGCGGGTCGGAGATTCGCGGGCTGGGTGCGAAGGTGTCAGAAGGGTCACGCCCGAGTCCGGCGGGGGCCCGGGACGGGACCGGGTCTGGAAGGAGGGGAGGAGGGCAGGGGTCCTGCTCCGGGCCGCCGCGCCCTTACCCGCCGCCCCGCAGTCGGCGCAGTGAGAGTTGCCGGTGCCCGCCGCCTGCAGCAGCTCCAGCAGCCGCTTCTTGTTGCGCTCGCGGTCGCCCATGGCCGGCCCGGTGGGCTCAGCGGGGCTCAGCCCGGCGGTCCCCCGGCTGGCGGCCGCCCATGGCGCTGCGCTCGCGCCGGCAGGTGGAAAGAGACTCAGCCCCTGCGCCTCCCGCGCGCCAGCGCCGCCGCCAGCCAGCCAGCCCCGCCCCTCCGGCCCTTCGGCCCCGCCCCCGGCGCGTGCTGGCGGCCCCAGCTCCCGCCACTCTGCGCCCAGCTGGACCCCGTCCCGCGGGGAGGGACCCGAGTGCGGGACTGGGAGACCCTCACGCTGGCTGGCCCAAGAGCAAAAACCCGTCGGCCGCTTGCTAGCTGCGGGACTGTGGACATCCCAGTCGACCTCTCTGGCCTCAGTTTCCACCTCTGTAAAAGGGGAATAAGGGCATGTCTGTGTCTCTGGGCTCCCTGGAAAATTAGACAGGATCTAACTTCCGTTAAAGCTTTCTACTGATGTAGCGCTTACATCTACTTAGAGACCTCCCCAGGAAGCCCTCCTCAATACCCAGCCTAGAGCAATCTCTCCAGCTTCTGGTCCTCCTAGAACCCTGTTACAGGATCCGTCCATCCCTTTGGCCCTGAGCATTTTCTATCTACGCTGCATCGGTTATTTATGTATTTATATTAATCCCTCCCACACCTCCAATACACACGTGGCCTCGCTGGATAGTTTGACGTCAGCAGATTTATTTCTGTATCCCACATAATTCCTAGAAACAGCACCTGCACATTTTTAGAAGTCCAATAGTTGCATGACTGTGTTCACCAGGAAGCGTGGTTTCACCAACGCGGACTCAACTAGGCACTTTTTGGGGGGGGGGGGGGG